CTCCGCACTGGGGGGCGCCAAGAGCTGTATCTCCCGCGGAGGGCCCGCAGGCAGCTCCTGGAAGCCAAAAAAGGTCGGAAGGAACCGTCTGACCGTCTTGGTAACGCCTGAATAGCGGATTTGTTTTTGCAAGAGCGGTGCGCGAACAGCTATCGAAGGTTGGAGCTTGGGGCGCTTCAAACGCATGCCTTCCGAAACCAGCAGTCAATGAAATCAATACTTTTCAAGAAACATTCAAACGTCTGCAGGCAATTGTAGTACGATTTGACCCATGCGAGTGTAGGGAGGGTGCAGAACAAATCCTACCATGCCACGTTGGCTCCCAGCGTATTGCCTGCTCTTAGTCCTGAGACACAGCTTCGACAGAATATCCAACACATATACTTTTGCACAGCTTTGTTCGTGTCCGGTTCTTTTTCCAACTTGTCCATTGGTGTATGGTGGCTGGCTTGACTTGTTCCCTTCATTTGCCCGGAGCTCAGGGGCTATAAAGCACCAACATCTTCCCTAAACCCCGTGTTCCCCGCACAAGGAAACATGATGCTGACATGCACCAAGAACATGTTGTTTGTCTAAAGGAGCATTTAGTTCTCCTTGGGTTTCCCTTTGAACGCTCCCCGAAAAAGGGATCCTTCCCCTCCGAAAAGACAACAAACAAGCACGCACACTCACACATACACACAATTTAATTTGCAACGGAATCAACACTTGAAATTCGAGGGCACCCGCCCCCAGTAGTCTCCCATGACCTCCAATTGTTCTGTGTGTGCGGACCCCTCCAGACAGAATGTGAAAGGCCATGATGGCCGCATTCCCTCAATGAAGGGGGTGCTTTCGCTCCATCCCGACGAAGGCCTTTTCTGGTTGTACACGTTCCTTCTACCCACCAAGAAATATATATATATATATATATATCCCAGAGGGTCCAAGACCTTTCTCAGGAGGTGTTTGGCCAAGTTGTTTCTGTGGACGATTGTGGGCCCAAATCCTTGTCAGCGTGGTCTTGGCCCCAAAGCCGTCCTCCGGCTGATTTGGCCCGAGGGGTCTGTGGGGAGCATGAGGTCATGCTGTGCAACATCAACTTTGATCCATGAAGGGTTCAAGTATGGTTGGAAGTCAGGTTTAAATAGCTTTCCGCTTACGCTTAATTCACAAATCCCGCCATGGGCCTGCTTCGGTCCGCTGCTCTTCGTGGTACGCCCCCGCCCAGCTTTGGCACATGTTTTCTGAACGGCCAAACATGTTCTCCTGCAAACGGGTTGTAAGGCTTGCATGCATTTAGAGCCCTGCCCGCATCTGCTTTTCATCCGACTCGCCACCATCAGCTGCGGGCTCTCAGAGATCGCCTTGGCAGCGATGGCTTCCATCGTGGAGGTGGAGGGTTCAAAGGAGCTGCAGGTGGTGGCTCCCCTCAGGATGAGGATCTCAGAGTCTTTTATGCAATAGTTGATAAGTTGGTGAGTGGAGCAATCCAACATCAAACGCGTAGGCCTATGATAACATGCGTGACACGTGTGCTCACTGCCCGTTTGAATTACTGTTGACAATTGCTTTCGGTGGGAGTGAGTTGGAGTGGTCTTTGGGCTTGGCCTTCACTCATGTGCATGGGTCGGATGTGAGGAAACTGCCCAGAAGATCTTCGAGGCAGTGCTCCCAGATCTGCTAACACTAGAACTGAAACTGCCTGCAAGGCCCTTCACTTCTACGCCCAGGTCAAAGCACGGGAAATCATGGCCCATGAGGATATTAATATCTGCGAGTGACTGTTTGCCCCAGCATGATGTTGGAAGCCCCTGGTGCAGGAGAGAGCCTTGATTTGCTGGCCAAGCCAGGACAAATGCACAGTCTGACACCCAGCCCACTCTTTGCATTGACTGATCCATGGAACCTTCACGGTTAGGTGGGTGAGGCGGACCTGGAAGCCAACTATGAGCTCTTGAGGGAGTACTTTTTGGACCTTCCTCCAGGGCCCCTCCCAGAGTTGGCTCACCACACTGTGGCTAGGCTGATTTACATTAGTCGCAATTAGTCCCAAGATCTACTTCGAATTTTTCTTGAGGCTGCTTTTGTCCTCTTGTCCATCCGGCTGAACTACCACCAGGAGTGCTACAACAAGCGTGGTGGCCGCGGCATCATCCGAGTGCCTTTGCAGCTTAATGCTTTGCTTCATTGACCCCCCTTGAATTCACGGGTTTGCATGTGGACCATGGATGGAGCCCAAAAAAGGTCCTCCTCCTGATTATGATGTTGAAGCGTGGGGGTTGTTGTTGACCGATCATAGGGGCTTACACACCCAAGAAGCCATGTTAACTGATCATCGGGGCTTGCGCATCCAACAAGTCATGTCAATTTTGAAAGCTTGATTGTGGATCCGGGTTGCCATGATTGTTGCCTTGACATCCCACCCATGGTTGGAACTGAGTCCTGGGCGCACACCGAAGCTGTGCGCTTGCGAGCGCTTGCGGCACATTGCGTGCGCCTGGCGGGGCGAACCGGTGAGAGCAGGCGGTCTTGGTATATACGCATGTATGGTGGTACCCCGGTTGATTGGTTTTGGCCGTGCCAGGAATTCGCGCATCAAGCTGTTGAAATCCATCATCCAGCACAATACAAGAGGGGCTGCGCAGGACATATAGCATAGTCTGCATGTTGCTTTGGGTGTAGATTGGCAGGCTGATGATGAGGGAACCTCCAACGAAGAGGAGGCCAACCTGTGCAACCAACATGCTCGCTGATCACATCAATTTTGCAAGGTTTGGCATCTGTTTGTCTGGCTGATAGGTGGTGCATGATGCTGAGCAGGAGGGTGAGGACTGGTTTGGTGGGAAGGGAATCGTTGTGTTATGAATTATCTTTCAGCTTTTTATGATGTGCACAAATGCTTTGTTGCTTGCCTGGCAGGACGATGACAGCCAAGAGCCAAGTCTCCTTGAACTGGAGCTGGTGGGGGTGCAATGTGGTGAGGTGCTTCTAGCCTTGATGCACACAACTTCGCCAGGGTCTGGTTGGAGATGCTCTTGCACTTGTGGCAATCGAGGAAGAGGAGCAGCAAGAGGTTCATGGCAAACGTGAGTGCATGTCGATTCAACTGTGGCTGGAGGAGCTTGGTCCTCGTGACGAGGTGCAAGTTTGGTTGGGTCGCATGTGTGCTTGTGCTACAAACGCATTACCTTTTCATGGCTTGAGGCGCTTGATCCTAGCAATGATGCTGGGTTGGGACAGGAGCTACTGTGTGTGTGTGTGCGTTATGAATTGCAAGTGATGTTTGTAGCATGTGTTGGAGGAGCTTGGCTCGGCACTGGTCCCAGAGTTAGAGGAGCTGTACTGTGCATGTGCATTTGATGTTTATTGCGTGGCTTGAGAGGAGCTTGGTCCTAGCGATGCCGTGCTGGGGCAGGAGCGCGTGGCATTGGGTGTGAATTTGCGTACGTGGCTCAAGTGCTTGCTAGTTGTTGCGCAGGTTGAGGAGCTCGGTGCTGCTGATGATCCTCTACCGGAGAAGGAGCGGGGTTGTGTGTGTGTGTGCGTGTGTGCTGCAGCGTGCTGCCATTGCAATATAGCATGGCTTGAGGAGCTTGGCCCCAGCAATGATGCTGGGCATGCCCAGGAGTGTGTCTGCCCGTGCGCACGTTACAAGCGCCAGTTCTTGAGCTGCGTGAGGAGCTTGGGGCTGGCAATGCTGTGCCGGAACAGGAGATGTTTTGGGTGTGTGCTTGTGGGTGTGTGTGTGTGTGTTTTGCAAGTGCTGGTTCTGGCATGGCTTGATTGAGGAGCTGGGTCCCAGTGATGATGCCCCACCGAGGGTGGAGCAGGTGTGTCGGGCATGTGTAGTGCCTGTACATGTGTGTGTGTGTCATGGCTTGAGGAGCTTGGTGCTGAGAATGATGATGCTCTCTTGGGGGGGCAGGAGAGGTGTTTGGGTGTGTGTGTGTGGGCTGCAAATGCTTTGCATGGCTTGATTGAGACCTGTAGGATCCAAATGATGATGCTGCACAGGAAAGTGTGTTGGGTGTGTGTGGAACATTTGTGTGCTTGTGTGCATGGCTTGAGGAGCTTCGTGCCGAGAATGATTCTCTCCTGGCGCAGGAGCTGTGTTAGGTGTGTGCGTTTGTTGCAAGTGCATGGCGTGGCTTGATTGAGGAGATTGGGCCTAGCGATGATGCTGTGCTGGGGCAGGAGGAGCTGTGTTGGGCACATGCGTGCCTGTGGCTGTGCTTGTCAACCTAGTGTGGTTGCATGGATCGAGGAGGTTGATCATAGTGATGCTGTGGGGCAGGAGCTGTGCAACCATGCATGTGTGCTTATGCTTGCGCATAAGTTAAGCCTGCCTGGCCAATATAGGAGCTTGAGGGGTGCGAGGGCGCCCTGATTCAGCAGAATGCGCCGGTTGAGGAGGCGTGTTGGGGTTTCTTTTGAAACTGCACATGATTGCTGGTCTGTCGTGGGCGTGGGGTTTGCTGCCAATTGGCCAGGAGGCGCGGCCTACTCACGGTGGTGATGCTGTTGGCCATGAGCGGGAGCAGGCGCGACTAACTTTACATGGCATGATATGCTGACAGCTGATTGGGCTACCGCACTAGGAGGCTTTGCTGGATGTGGATCGCATGGCTCAGAGCTGAGATGTGTGTTTTGTTTGTTTGTTCTTTGCCAGCTGGCTTCAGCAAAAGAAATGAAAACTGGAATGAATCTAGGGTTCTCTGACGCTTGCTTGCAAAACACTCATTGGCCCTGATGAGGCTGCCTCACAGCCTTTTGCGGTCGGTGCGGGCTGCAAGGCCAGCACAGCCATATGCTTGATGCTAATTGGCATGCTCTGCAAAGTTGGTTCGATAAATTGGGCAGGCAAAACGCGGGCCGGTGGTTAAGCAGAGCATTGCGGAGCTGCCTGGGTGTGTTCTTGGGCATGATGAGCTGGCAGCAATGCAGGTGAGCGCCATTGACTTCGTGGCGAAGCAAATGGGCATGAACAAGGAAGCTGCTGAGGCAATCCCGGGATCCTG